AGCTATCGATGCTTCTGCATTTTCAATGCTGCAGTGGAAGAGCTATTGGCTGTCATTGTCTAATCATGACTTATTTGTTCCAGTCCCACTGGCGCTGCAGAAACTTAGCTGCTTTCTTTTCCTAAACTCAAAATATGTTCTGAGCTAACCACGATGCATTCTTTTTTTTTCTTTTTTTTTTGCACTCCCATCATCTAATGTGTTAGACCTCGCTGAAGTTCATAAATAACGATGCTCACCCCACTTGCTGAGCTTGCTGCGGTCTCCTGTTGCTGCACTGAAACCTGAGGAAGACTCCCGGCGTATCTGGCGGAGCAGGAAGGAATATCCTGCGCAATGCCTAAGAGTAGCAGCTCTGCTGATCTGCCAGCACTCCCAGGGCTGCTGGTCATTAATCTTTCTCAGCCAAAAACAGATGGGGCTATTAGGCAGGCTGGAGTAATAGGGGAAACTGGCATGATGAAGAAGGAAAAAACTGCATATAAAAATGAGAGCATTAAAAATGTATTTTTCATATTTAATTGGACGATGTACAATTATACCTACCAGAAAATAACGTGCAGTGTGTTTTGTGCAGGGGATTTATAAGACTGTTCAGCTGTGCTAGGACCTTATTTTCCCCTGCGGAGAGAACCAGTAGCAACAATTCTGACAAGGTTTTTGTGTTTTTCCCTCTAACACAGGGCTTCCTCTGCTGCACTGGCTACTGCAAATAACACTACAAAGTGCCTCCGCTTGTCGCAGTAAAAGGAAAATGCAGTTTATGATTTACATACAAACCACACGAAGCCTACCTGGTAAAAAAATCAGCACTTGAGGAATAACGTGAACATATCTGATACTCAGTCTAACAAAAGTGATGGAACTGCGTGTACAGCTGCTAATTCCTTTATGTCACTGAGTCCAAGATGATGATTATAAATAGAATAAAAATTGCAAATTATGAAGTGGAACCGGACTGCTCGCATAGGAAACTAGCAAGGCTGGAAGGAATTACTGAAAGTAGGGTTTGGAAAACAATCTGATAGCTACTAAGGACTATTTGGGATAAAGACATTTTCTAGGCCTGCCAGGTAGGCAAATGGTAGATGACCCTTAGCCAGAAAATGATAGGATGGAAAGGGCGGCCAAACGTTTGAAGGTATATACTGTGACAACAGAGAGAAATCATGGAAACACATTAGAGGGTTACAATAAGACATTAAATAAAGGCAAGTGCTTTGCCCAAAACTTAAACTTGCAAAGGCTGTTATATCAAAGGGAGAAGCCTGAAAACAAAAATAGGGGGATCGGGTGCAGATCAGCAGATTACTATTTGGAATAATAATTATGCCTGAAATGAGGTGGGATGTCAGGAGGTGCTGGGAAATACACAGGGGGCTTAGGGGCCTGAAAAGTTTGCAGTGAGTCACATGTGTCAATGTTTTGGAGTGGAGGGCAAAAAGGGAGACACAGAACAAAACGTGTCAAGATAATACCCCAAATTAGAAGAACAAAAGAATTTTGTAGGATTTTATTTCTGATCCCTTGACTAGGAAAAGGTTAGCATTTAGGAAGGTTCAAGAGGAAAATACAATCCCCAAAACCTAATAGGGTGATATTTGATATAAAAATTTTAAAACAAAACCCCCTTTTTCCTTTTAAAGAAAAAAAAAGGGGGCCCAAAAAAAAAAAAAAAAAACCAACAACTGAAATCCTCAGATTAAAGATGGAAAAGGCTTATAAATATCAATGGAGTATGGTATTCCCTTAGATAAATGGAAGACAAGGACAAGGAAATGCTGGTTACGACTAAATTGGAAATTTTAGAAGTTTTTCAGGCCAAATAGGAAACCTTCGGAGAAGGGAAATCAAAACTTCGTAAAGCTGAAAAGAGGGTATGGAACAGTTAAGATGAAGTTTGAGCAAGCTAAGAGGGAATCTGAAGAGCAAATAGTAAGAAGTTAAAACTGAAAACACACGTTTGCTCAGCACACCAAAAGCAGAAAACCAGAGATAACTGGTAGGCCACCCCAAACAACAAGTAGAAGAAACAATTAAAGACAATAAGGACATTGCCAAGAATCTAAATGATTTATTTGCATCAGTCTTCACCAGAGGGTGCTGGAGTGATATCTAAATGAGAGACTCACACTTTCCAAATATCAAAGATAAGGAGAGGTCATAGATTGAAGACTCAGGAGAGAAGTTGGTGGAACAAATCAATAAATCAAAGGCATTAAGTCACCAGGTTTATCTGATATTTCTTGAGGACTTCAGGAGAAAACTGAGAATTAAGTAACAAAGTTGCTAGCAAATACCTACTACAGCAGAGGACTGGAAGACAGTCAGTGTTACAACTGAGTTGGGGACTGTTGTTGGTGGTGGTTTTTTCACGGTGTTGGAGGAGCCCTGGCAGTTACAGACAGGTACGTAATCCTAATCTGCTATCATGTAAATTGGCTGAAATGTGTTAAAAAAAACCCAAGCCCCACACCTTCCAAACATGACATGACAGGTACAAGTCAGTACAGTGTCTACAAAGGGAAAAAAAAGGGGCTCTTTGAACCTGCTACCAATCTTTGAGCTGGTTACACCAGCCAGATGGGTTACACCTAAGCCTACCCAGGAGGTCCCGTGACTGGCTGTACAGACAGGCAAGTAGCAAAGGATTTACCTCCCTGCTCCCCCATCTGCATCTCAGGACCACTGAGGAGGGAGTAATGTTCATGTTGATAATGGCACACCCGAACCATGTACAGGTCTGTGCTACAGGTTAAGCTGCTCCAGGGCAATCCAGTCCATCCTTGGGCAACACTGTTAAAGCCAAGGGGAAGTGTACATCTGGAAATGAAATTTTAATATAGATGAAACATCAGAGTGGCCACATGAAGCTCCGACTGGAGATTTTATGTAGGTACACCCAGTGTTAGCCCCTCTTAGGCTCAGCTTTTGATATCCTTCTGTGCATTAGCTAATCAACAGGGCTCTGCGCTGCAGGGTTCTTCTCATTCTCAAAATACACAGTGACCTTGGCCCTTAATGGTGAGTGATACGGGACTCAGGGAGTTAAGATTTTTATTTTTTTTTTTAAATATCTTAGCCAGGACTGAGCACTCATTTCACTTTTTCCCAGCTCTTCCCAGCTCTTTATGTAAATCTTTACATAAAGCCATTAAGAACAGAAGAAAAGCACTTTGGAAAATTATGCAGTGATGTATTCTTATGCAGCCAACACTCCCAGGGGAAAAAGTGAAAATTACACATAGCCTCCCGCCCCTTTTTATTTCTTGTCAAAGATGTTGCCTTTTTTGGCTTTTCTTATATATACACAGCATGATGAACTGATATTTGTAGTTTAAATGTCTGGTTTAACTGCGTGGTTTCCACTGTAACAGAAAGCTCTCACGAAATGTCAGGTTAGAAATAAAACCAAGCTCTAGAGGGATGAGATGAGGAGGAAAGTAGAAGGTCCAGTGGCTGAAAAACAAAATGGAAAAAAAGTGAGCAGAGCGCAATATGGATCCATCTCCCAGCTCAGGCAGTGGAATTGGTACGCGTGGTTGTACGGGGATCTGGGGTAGGGAGACAAGACGCATTTCTCACTGAGTTGGTTCTACTTTCTCTATTAACATTGCAACAGAAATTACAAATAGCCCTGCAAGGGGTAGTGCATTAAACCTCATCTCTTCATCCCATGTAAACACAACATTAATACTGAAGAATAAAGAAAATGGTACAAAGTCCAGTGTCTTGTTTTCTGCATTTTGCTTGTTAGGTTTCCTGTCCGCCCTCCAGCATACTCCTGTGTGTACCGAAGTTGTGAACTTCACCAGCCCGCGTTCAAGCAAACACTCACACTCAGATTCCCAACACATTCGTTTCTCCCCCTCGAATGGGGAGTTTATTCCTAACAGTTCTGCTGCTTTTAATTATAAACTCCTTTAACGAAGTAGTTCTGAGACCTTGCAGCAGGCAGCAGGAGAGCACCAAGGCTACCAGTTGCCATGTTTATAATCCCCATTCAGCAAAGAAGTCCCAAGGCCCAGTGCCTTCACGGACGGGCATGCACTGAAATGAGCCTACAAATCCATATCCCCCCGCACAATGTGCCTTCTAGGCAAAATCCGATTCTTGCCTAAAAAAGATAGAGAGTTACAGCCAGGCCCTTTATTTTATGAGACACACACGAACAAGTTGCTCTGGTGAAAACAGACCTTACACTGACAAGTTTTGTTCGCTTGCTGGCAGAGCTACTGATCTTCTTTACTGGACCACCAGAACTGAAGATGGGAACGAAACACAAGGGAGACGTTTCCTTGGCAAGGAAAGGAGCAGCATTTAGGACAGGGGAAAGGCAGGGTGGGGTATAGGGGATTTTCCTGATAAAACAACTAATTTGAGAATAAAAGACCAACCGATACCATGTATACACCTAAACCAGTAACACACCTCCTCTGGAGTGCAGTATTGTATAAGCGTCCCCTTCGTTTTCAAGGCTAATTCAGACCTTTGGCTCATCCTGCATTAGCAAGGTCATCCATGTTAACTGGGCCCCTGTGAAAGTTCACAGGTGAAAGTTCCCTTTTAGAGTAGTGCAGATTTGAAATTCACAGGACAGCGACCCGAAGATCTTCCTTTACAGATAAAAAGCATGTCAAATTATTAAATAGCAACATGAAATCCTATATTCCGAAGGTCTATCTTTGCTCTGCGGTTAGGAGAGCAGTGTGCGTTCCCAGCCCCTGCCCAGTCCCCACCTCCAGCGGCACGGCGGGCACATGGCCGCCCCTCTTGCTGACACCTCACGAATGCTAAAGCTGAAAGGCCTGGGGTAGTCGGGGAAGGGACGAACGAGCATAGTCCGAAGACACGTCACTTCAAATTTCTACTGTTAGAACTGCCGGGTATGATATAAAAACAGAAAGTATTTCTCAGTTCGAAGTTTGAAGACCGGGCCCCAAACGTCGAGTGACTCCTCCCTCCGGTGTCCCTGTTTCCCGCACACGGGCTCCACTGTGCTAGCTGTTGTTCTCTGCCGTGAGATATTTGAGGGCTGCAAAGCCATAGTGGCGCGACATATCCTGCTGGAACTCCTCCTTCAGGGTCTTGAGACAGATGCGGTATTGCTTGTTGGAGCGAAACTTGGTGATGTCGAAGCTGGGGGCGTGCGGCATGTGGATCATGTAGGCGTTGGGCAGCACCGTGAACTCGTACTCCTGGGGGAGAAAGACACCGGCTGTGAGGGTGTTCCCAAGCCCTCTTGCAAATGCATCTCTCCCATACCTCCACAATCAAATATGCTCCAACATGTAACATTGCGGTGTGGGTCTCGGAAAGAACAAACCCATACAGATATGCCAAATAACCCTTCTTTTTTTAAAGTTGCTTTTTCTTGGGTTTATGGAAGATCTACTTTCTCTTTTAAAATGTTTTTCTCCATGTAAGCCAAATGGTGGGGAAACAGTACAAAAGGCATGCCCGAAGCCGTGTCTGCAGCACAGGTTTTGCAGTAGTGTGCTTGCAACCAAGACAGCTGTGACTGCACACAGTCTCAAGTGTCCATGCAAGAGCATGTTTTTGCCCCTACAATTTACCTTGTTTGAGATGCTGGAATAAGCTATATTTACAGAGGCATCCATTGCACTACATATGTTGCCTTGCCTGTATACTAAGATACTTAGAGTGAGAAATCTGTCCAAAACTATTTATAAACCTGAAATAGGGAGAATATGATACCTTACAGATGACACGTGAAAATGGACCTGCTAATTCCATATGCTTTGGGAAGGTTTTACGCAAATTAAGTTCTCCTTCACAAAGTATGAGATAATGTTTTTATTCCCCCTCTCCTCTAGAACTACTTCACTAATTCTCTTTATGTATATCTGACCAAGTTCTTTGACAATTTTTGTCATTAAAAATGGTGGTTCATTTAAATCTCAATTACTCCTGTTAGATGTTTCAATTTTTATAATTAAACATATGATCATTAGAGCAAAGCTGAACAAAGACTGATTCTCAGACAAGGTGCAAGTTCACTAGTGCAGGGTGTATAAGAACCAGGTACCTGCTCCTGTAAGGAACTGGGCAGAAAAGGGATGTGAACCTCAGTATTCTCTAGCCAAGTGAAGTATCCTAACCACCAGGATGCTATTTTTTATATGGAACTGCAGAAAGCCTGAGTTGTATGGGATGCAAATAACAAAGAAACTTCGAAGCCTCCACAGGCAAATTTCCTGTTGTCCTCACAGTTTCTATTTACAACTGTTGCCGTATTGACTCATTAACTGTCTCTGCAGAAGACACTGGGCAGGGAAGGAACAGCCGCAGAGCGTGCTGGCTTTACAAGAAATGGTGCACAGCCTCCCCTGGTTTGCAAAGTCCGGTCACTTGTAGATTTAGGAGTCTGTGCAGAGACACAGAATATCTGCAGCACAGAGGCAGAGTGCTCCAAAACATGAGTGTTTCAGCTATAAATCTTTCTTCACCTAACAAAATCTAACCAACCCAGAAAAGCCTGAAAGCTGCTGGGTTACGATGCTACCAGAAACCAAGTGTTTGAGCAACACAGCCGAAAATGAAGCCGAAACAAAATGGAAAAAAGTGAGCAGAATGCAATGTGCATCCTTTTCCCAACTCAGGTGGTGGTACTGGTGAGCCCAAAGTGTAGCTAAGGCTGCAGTGCCTTCCCAGAGACACCTGTGAAACGGTGGCTGTGTAGGACAGCTAGGTGCAGATGCAGCTGTATGGCTGTTCCTTACTCATTATGGGAATGCCTGTTCCCTGCCAGACAGCGCTAAAGCGGTCAATCTTTGTGCCAAATTACAATGCTCTCATATACGGGAATGGAACCCTCTGAGCTTCTGTTTGGGATGACAAATGTACAGCAAGAGCAAAATAATCTGATGCTCACAGGCAGAACTCATTTAGCTGGAAGAGGCTTAGAACTAAACACAAAACCAAAGGCTGGCACGATGGAGTGAGGAGAGCTGATAAACTAGAAACTACAAAATATGTCTCTACAGGACCTTAAAACTAAGGGCTGAAGTGTCAGAGGAAGATGCATCCCCCCTCATCCAATCCTTTCTTTGTTCTCTGTTTGCATCTCAAGTCTGTAACCCTGCAGGTCAGGGGCCGGCTCCGCTCTGCAGTGTAAACTGTTCAGCACAGCTGTGCTCCCATCCCTCTGAAAGACCTTCAGGCATATAAAGCCTTCCAAAAACTTACATGAGTCTCCTGCTAATAAGCGCCTTTGAAAGATGCTGGGCTGGGGTCCTGGAAAAAGGATTGCTCACAGTCTAGTTCCACAGTCCCTGGAAGAGCAGGGAAAAGTCTCCTGATGACCCGTCCCTACTACATGGAAACATCTCCTGGGAAAGAAACACACTTGCAGGAACCTCTGTCCCTACCTCACAGGTTAAATTCTTTAGATGGAGACTCTCATTATCTACGTATTTGTACAGCATCCAGCTCAGTGGACATCTGCCTGCCCCCAGAATGACAATGACAATAACCTCCATGCTGTGGGCTGCTCCGGAGGACAGCAGCGGCATGGGCCCTTGGTGAGGGGTCTGAAACAGTTCTCTCAACAGACACTGCAGTTGCGGGGAACAGTGAAATAACCAAATTGAGAAGCTGCTCCGCCTGCTGATAATGAAGCCAGCCAAGCAGCTGGCAGCAACCTGATCTGTGGACACCCTAAAGCAGAGGAATGCCCTAGTGGGAGGCAGCTGGTGCGATCCCACATCCCCTCCAGGCTGATTTTCTGGGAGAACAGGCCAATACCCATGTTGCTACAGCTGAAAACTAAACTTCTTTTCAATGTGAGAATGTTTTTAAGGCTGGAAGAGTGAGAAAAACAATTCCCCAGAGTTAGTTCCAACCCAATGGCCATTTAAAATATCTGTACTGTGATCAACTTGAAAAATGTTCCAATTTCTCATGTGTGACTCTGTATGCTGGGCAAATGTCTCCAAACAGAAGAGTTAAATCATGAGTGCTGGATGAGAGCTGCCAGTGGGAACATAAGCCTTGTTACCCAGATTAACTAATAATAAATCATTACACTGGCACTCTCCACAACTGATGGTTAATTAGTGTTTGGAAAGTGCACTGGAAAATTAAAGTGCTATAGCAAAGCAAAGTATTATTATTAATAATAATATAAGGGACAATTTTTTTTTTTAAGTCTAATAACTTTTTCTCAACATAAGTAGGTAGAAGTTTGTTGGGAATGCCCTTCTGCAAACAGAGGGCAAGTGCTGGCCAGCCCAAGGCGACCGTGTAGTTGTAAGCAGAAGTAGAAAATAATGCTCCCATGTAGGTGCCTGCACACAAATACACTGTAGCCCACGCCCCAGAGACACAATCTCCCAGTAACTTGCCGCATGCTTTGTGCTACTCTGCTTCACATAAACTGGTAAGAGGTGGGCAGAGAAGGATCAGCTATATTCCAGATAGATAGCAGAAGCTAGCATAGGAGGATACAGATGGCCAAAAAGTACGGGTTTTGGTTAGCATGAAATGCTACTAGTTCAAAAGCTGGGACGGAAACCAAACTAAGAAAAAAAACCAAAACAAAACCCCAAATAAAAAGAAATGCCACGACCCAGACCCTGCTGATTAGCACAGCGGTTAGCTTCACATCCGAGAACAGCAGGGAGATGCCAACCCTGCCATTTCAGTGAGCAGCAGCACCGGGCTCCCATGGAGCCATAGTCACTGCCAGTCTCTGAGATCTAGGTTGGTGGCAGGGACCTTGGCAGCTCTGAGAGCTCTAGTGCCAGTCTGCGTCTCTCGAGCTTTCTCTGCATCCCTGTTCTTACATATTCTGCCCAGCAGCTCCATCCCAAGTCACAGATCCAAGAGGCAGGTAGCCCTAGGATCAAGCGCCTGGATCTTCTAGAGTCTGCCCCACAGCCAGACTTTGGAAATGTAAAGTCCTTGTTTTTCCAGAGATGCACTGTAAATCCAGGCCAGAAATTGAAGATGCTTGCCTTGGATTCAATTTAAGATTGCTTTTTGAGTTCTGAATTAGCATTTGGGACTCACCAACCTCTATTTAACTGAAAAACTTCCAGTGAGGTCTACAGATCCCCTAGTAGGAGACTGAAAACAAGTGCTGCAACGCTTGGGCACACTGTTGGGCAGGAGGTGGGCACTGCAGGGATTGTGCCACTGAGAGACAACAACTTTCTTGGTACTGACAAATAAACTAACTCAGATTCAGTTCTCCTTTTAAGGCTTGACAAGGACTACACTAAGTGTTCCCAACTCAAGAAGCACTCATTAAGGAGCTCAGTAAGGCCAGATGAGCACTTCAGTGATGCAAAGCCCGAAGCCTTTCTACAGAACACGGATTTCATTTAACAACCCTGCTGCCCAGCCCTGGGTTAGATACGCAGGCGCCGTCTCCTCACCTGTGCATCCAGTTCCATGATGTGAGCTACTTTGTTCCAGCCAAATCCAACAAACCGCCTGTCATACTCTGGGCAGTCCTTCCTCACAACAACGTATGGCTCAAAGTCTGCTTCCCACTCAACGCGGTAGGGGGTGGTGGCTGTTCGCCACTTGGCAAAGTTCGTTGGCGCGTGCCCTTTTGTCCAGACGTGATACCTTAAACAGAAATAAATGGCATGGACATGGGGAGGCATTTAGATAGAACGCATCTCGGCGAGGCAACAAAATGTTACTTGTTAGATGAAATGCTCAGAAATAAGGACATTAGCTTACAGTTCACATCATCATTTTCAGGACATATTGGAGGCAATTTCTAGGACTATTTCCAGCACGCTTCCCAGAGCCTCTCTGTGCTCAATGCTTAAACACATCTAGCTGGTGAAGGATAGTGTGAAAACACTCTCTAATGCTAATGTGAGAAACAATTACAAAGTACACAGACAGTTCATCTGCACTACAAAGTGCTGTGTCTCGTTCCTAGCAACCAAGTGGCTGTATCAGTGCTCTAAAATTGGTGTGAAATTCTGTAGCTCAGGTAAGGTCCCTAAAATTAGCTATTTCTAAACCACGGTGACATTCACGATCTATTTTATATGCAATTTTATAATTTGCATGAGAGACACCTGCAGTTCTGGATAGATGTTCTCTTTTATTAATTACTGTTATTACTATGGCAGGAGCCAAAGTGCATAAGTAAGTTAATAAGTAAAATATTACATAAAGGCTTTCTGCTGTACTTTCTACAAAGTAGGGGGTACCCATGTGATCCTGAGTAAGGTAATCAGTTTGATTTACAGAAAAAGTTCATTTTATACTTCGTTAATCTTGTTTAGGTCACAGCAGGTCTCTTCCAAACACGGCTTGAATCCACCCCATTAGTGCCAGGGTCAATGACTCTCTCACCCACTTATTCTTCTTACACCTTTCCAAAAATCAATGAGACAGGCTCTTTCTGCAGACTCATACACTAAATAATGAAACAAAGGCATAGCAGGCCATCTGTATTACAACACTCTGAGATGTGTAACAGAAGGGGCAAAACAAACATCCTGCCAGTTTGTCATGTAAGGTACATTGAAATCACAGGGATTGACTCATGTGCTAAAGTAAAAGGATCTGAGCATTAAATATTTGCAGAATGAGGACCCGAGGTGATGTTTCAACCCCAGAAATACTCGTAACGTTCCAAGCCATTGCTAAAAACAGGGACGTAAAATCACAACCTCTGAGTTTCCACTTTGACTGTATATGGCTTATAAATGGAAAAACAGAGGTGTTCAGCTTTGCTGACTCCTTGTTCAGGGGCAGTGCAGGAGGACAGAATTATTAGGATAGCACTGGTGTCCCAAGTAACGTATGGTCCTTTGAAGGCTGCATTTCTAAACTGTAAACAGGTTGCATCACTTCCAGATATCTGGCTTGGGGACCTGGAAAAACAAAGCCCTTCCATATTAAAAAAAAGTGACAGTGAATTAATTTTCTAGAGGTTATTAGAAACCAGTGCCAGATTCACAAAGATCCTTACAATCCCTAATGGGATCCTTTGGAATCATGTCCGGAAAGCCTATCCCTTTTCCTGGTCTCTTTTGGAAATGAGTTGGTAACCTACCCAGTCACTAATGGGCAGCTATTTATACTGGAAAAAAGCACAGTCATACTGTGGGGTTTAAAATGATACGGGATCATGGAGGATGCTATATCTTCTAACATCCTACCTCCGGCATTTTGAAATTAATTATGATAATAATAATAATGACTACTAAACACTCATGAAGTGATTTGTATCTTCAAAGCTCCATACAAACTTTGGTTAATTGAGAGATTCCTGCAGAGAAGCAGTCAAATGCTGCTGCTATTCTAGTAACACTCTCCCACCGATTTAAACAGGGGGGGACACAACGCTAACCATAAACCCAACAATTTCTTTCCACCCTTTTGGGGGAAAGCAGTGTAAGCTGTTACAGCATCTCAGTGAGTTGAGAGAGCTGACCAGCACGAAAAAAGAAAAAACATAGGGAAGAGACAACGAAGGGAAAATATGGAAATGAGATTGGAGAGACAAAACAAAGCAGGAGGGAAGGAGTAGACCTGACTGTACCAAATAAAATAACACCACAGATGATCTGCTTGCCTCTTCAGAGTGACTGATGTGTGTGGAAGGCAAGAGGAAGACAAAATGATGGCTAAGGTCAGGACAAAGATTAAAATGACTACAGGATGCTCAAAGAAGTTGTGCACATACTAATTATAAAGGAATAATTAGACTGGAAACAAGAATTGTGACAGTTCAGGATTACATACATGTGTGTACGTACAACATATACGGGTCTACACGCATATATACACACACACATATATATAATCTGCTGGAGCTAGGTCTTGGCCAACGGCTGATCATCACATGAAATGTACTGCAAAGTAAGATGTGCAGGCACCATTACATGGATGTCCATGTAAAAGAAGGTACCATAAAAGAGTGAGTCACTTCCAACAGACTTTACTCTCGCTGACGCAGTTGTGAGAAGGGGTTCACTGTCTGTATCGGTCTTCCATCTCACAGGACAAATTAATAAATCTAATTTTCCTGCTCAGGCCCTTCTCACTTAAGATTGAAATACTCATTGAATTTTAAGGCCACGCTCAATCTCACTGAGTCCCAGGAGAACTTTGTGAAAATTGTGAACAACATATTTTTCACTACGCTGGCAAATTTGACAAATCCAAACCAAATAATTTGATCTCCGTAAAATGATGATGAGTTTCTTTCCCACGGTTCATGGAAGACAACTGCACACACACACCCACCCCACCCCTGCTTTGGGTCAAATGTTTCATCTTACTTTCATTATCGATTGCTTTTATTTAAAATCAAATTTCAAAGCTATACTAAACTTTGCTAAAGTTAGCAAAATGAAATTGTTATTCTTCTCAGAGTGTTCTTCCTCCCTGCCTTGTCCCTCACAGCTTCCCGTTTCAGTGAGAAAGATGATTTGGTGAAAGAAGAACTTTCCCAGTTCTGTTCTCAGACGCTTAAACATTTTGCTGGATTGTGGATGCAATCAGTTAATTAGTTAATCAGTTGTTGCTGGTTATGTTTCCTCAATACGATGTGTCTTCTACCAGCCGTGGTACTCCTTGTGCCTGAAAGCTGTGTCGGCAGCGCGTTTGCGGTTCATCAGCTACTCCCCAGGCCCCGAGCAGACACATCCTCGCGAGGCAGAGTCACAGCCAGCACCTGCAAACAAAGCCAGCAAGCTGGCACGGAGCAGCCCACTGCCACGGAGGGTTTCCACACAGCACACCTTGCCAGCCGCCGATGCTCACATGTCTTCCCTTTTCTTCTGGTGGCGACTGGGGGATGTAATTGAGAGCTGTTTTGTACTTCTTAGCTGCCCAGAGGTAGAAAAGGTCACCATTTGGAAAAGAGGTGACAAAAGCAATTTCAGCGAGGGGAAGATTGTAATCTACCGTGCGGTGTGAGGGACTGGGATGCTGCAGGCACTCTCAGCAATCACTGTCACAGCAGTCCTCCCCAGCTCACTCCCACCCGCTCAGCCTCGAATTGCAGCGTTATTAAAGCACCTTGAAGGTGGAGGTGGAAATTCTCAGCCCAGATCACAGCTGCTTTGTGGCTGTTGATAGATTCGGGCAATGAAATGAGCCAAAGCAAACTGGGGAAGCATTTGTAAAATGTGTCCTACATTAATATGTACACCGGCTACAGACCGCATGTCCTTCAATTCTTATTTAACCTTGCTCTGGCAAAACTCCCACTGACGTTAAAGAGAATTTTGCCTGAGTGAGACTTGAGAAAGGATCTGCAAATCCGGCTGTGTGCGTAACACTCCAACATGCTGTACAGCTTTAAGATGAAATCTGTAGTGGAAGGCCACTGCTGTGCAAGCTGAAAATTTGATTGTTGGTGGAACGTAAGATCTGAAAATCCCAAGGGTGTCATTTTCCACTGGTAGGATTTTTTTCTTCCAACTATGGGAGAAACAATAATTTTCTATCAACAAATCTCCTGTTAATTTGTATGCCTTTGACCGTTAGAGAATGATGGCAGACTGAAAGGCACTTGCTCTATCAGTATCCTTAAGTAATTTTCCAGAGAGAGGCATGCCTCTCTCAGTCACCTCAAGTTTCTATTTCAAGGCAGTCACTGGTAGAGGTAGTGTCAGAATTATGTTTTCCAGGCTCACACGGGCTGTCTGCCGTGACATGTGCATGAGGCCACATGAGGGGAGGGCGGCTGCTGCAACGAGAGGTGTGTAATACCGGAGTGGGAGAAGTGTGGGGAAAGCTCTGAAGTAAGGGAAGGATGGGAGAGGTGATAGAGAGCTCCACCAGCCATGGATAGTATCTAGCTTTTTCATCATTTTTATCTCTAGATCTCAAAATACCGTAAAAGGGAGGTGAACATTGTTACCTGCATTTCAGAGACGGAGAACAGAGATGTAAGGAAGGGAACTGATACGCGTACCACCTCCCAGCAGGGCAGTAGTGGAGCTCAGAAGAGAACGCAGGTCTCCGAAGCCCCCTCTCTGTGCAATATCATAAGGCCATATTGTGCTCTTCCCATCACTGCGATGCTTTACAAATGTCTGCTAATCAGACCTTACCGCACACACCCAAGAGACAGTTAACCTCTGGTAGCTGCATTTTAAAACTGAAGAGTCTGGCGGATAATAGAAGGGACTTGTTCCCAGCCACAAAAGGAGTCTGCTTCAGAGAGGAGCTCCAAATTTAGGCGTTCTTCGCTTCTGAACTTCCAGGCAGAGCACACTTTTACCTCTGCACTGAGAAACTCTCGCTGTTTAAGCGGCTGTTTCCCACTTTAAAAGAGCACATGACAAGCCTGCATTTGTTTTTCCAGCAAGTCAGGAAGGAAGCGAACCAACAAGCAGAGAGAAATTATTTTTGGTCACATGAGGGACACAGCTATCCAGATAGTATTTGGCAGCCAAAAAGCAAATTACACGCACATGAGTGTAATGGTCGCGCTTGATTTTGTAGTGCAATAAAAAATGATGAAAATAAAACAAATTCAATTTAACAACTGAAGTCCTTCAGTAGAGGATTATAATACTAGATAAAATGCTGAGCTTACAGATGGAATATATCCACATACGATTCTGTTCACTGCCTTTCTATGAAAAGGGAAAAAAAAATTCTGATAGGTTTCTTAATGGAGCTAGGTAGATGACAGTGAGAGAGGAAAATCAAATATTCACAGAACATCAAAAAAATCTTTAGAGATAATGACCACAGGTTCGACAAAAAGTACTTTCCATTACCTGAATGTGAAGAGGGTTCCCATGTCCAACATAGATAGCAGCTCTGCTTTTGACTTGGGGAAGGAGAGGCGGTAGCGCAGGGTCTCAAAAGCAGGTACGATCAGAGCTTTCTTGGTGTTAGCCAGGTCGAGCTGGATGACGGACTTCCTGGCAAAGAGAAACAACAAATACAAGCAGGAAAATTTTAAACTGAGTAAATCACTTGGTTTTTCAAAGTGAAGAGCAGAGAATGGGCAGTTTGATACTGTAAATGTAACTATGGCCCATATTTTTTTTCCTAGGGGTGTTTCATATTTTCCTCTCCTTTTGAATCTGCTGCTCTAAGAGCAGGGAGAACAATCCCAGTTCAAAAAGAGCTTGTGTGCTCGACTCATCAGTGCTGCCCTGCGTGCCCAGGGGTGCACAGAGCTGAACGAGCGCTCTGAGCACGACCAATTGACCACCGCTGTAAAAGAAACATACTTGAACGTCACTACATATGTGGTAAAGAGCTGCCCAGTCAATGGCAGTTCTGAAAAAATGGGATTTATCTAGGACTCAGGGAGACTTTACAAGGTGAAGAGCCGGGAAGTTCGGTTGTGTTTCAGCCTAGCTGTTCTCTGTGCTTGCTGTGCCATCATACTTGCTTTCTACCTCTGCTTTAGAGCTCTGTGTGTCCTGCAAGGTGAGTGTTACCTTAACACCGCTATGGAACAGATATTCGCCCTCAAGAGCACAGTTGCCATGATGGTCGGTCTTTGTTCAAGGCAAGGCACAGATCTGCTGCAACGGGACGTGGGGCACATCAGCAAAACTGTAAATGAGCAGTGTTTTTTTGACTGTTGTTAATCACGTACGTGGTAGTGCCCAGAGATCAAAGCTCACTTGTGCTTGGCTCCATACGTAGGGCAAAGAGGCTGGTTTCCTGCAGGGAAGAGCCGTGCACTGGATGGGCTGAGATACCTTGCTTTTTGCCTTCTTTTGCTGCAAGTTTTTCGGTGCATAGACTGTTTCGGGGTGTGTGTGTGTGCTCACATACTGCATTTTGCACAGTAGGGCCCTTCTCCAGGCAGGGGCCTTAGGATGACTGCTGCAGGAGAGCAACAGCTTCGCAACCTTAGGTGCTGCCTGCCAGAGGTATTTCAGTCTGTTCTTTCCTAACAAACTAAAACCCGAAGAAAAAGAGAAAGAAGTTACTTTTCCATCCCCAAACTGAATCTTACTATGCTTGTCATTAAAAATAACTGTCTCGATTTTCCTTTCATTATCTTCATATTTCATAGGAGAAATATGCCTCTCTCTCCCTGTCAAAGTCAGTTCCCCTTAACAGGATTCACTGTCCTGACTTTTATGTTTTTGCAACAAGCAATCAAGGACAATGTTGACAAGCAGCAAACTCTCTACAGCCTTATAAGATGAAGGAATTGGGATCACTGTCATAATAACAGAAGGACCAAATAAACCACTTTTCTAGGCCCAGAATACCTAGAATTCATTTATATTGCCATCAGAGAAAAAGAAGAAAAGCAGGGCTATTTAATAAAACCTGAATTTTAGAGAATTCACACTACCCTATAGGCCTGTTCTATAAAAAGAAATCTGTTCTCAGTGCCTTACTGCAAAATTTGCATTGTTTAAAGAACTCCTGCCACATTCCAGTGAACTTTTCACAACTGAAGGATTTTAGCAGCATCTTTCCTCACTAGCTTCTCCCTCACCATTGCTAATGGCCAAGATATCTGCACGTAAATAGATGAATCCTTCGCAGTCAGCCTCCACGACCTTCCAGAATCTCTGAGCAGTGCCAGCATCCTTTCTTCAGGACACCCTTAATGTTTCTTCCCCTTCACACCTTCTCTGCAAGCAGGGCACACTAACAAAGTGTCTCTGACAACATCTCTGGCTTTCTGGACTCTGTGCAATCTATCAGCCTTGAGTGGTACAGCTTTGGGGATTCAGTTCTAGGAAGGAGTAGGTAACGTTTGCAGTGATGCTCACCCTTTGAGCTCTGCAAGGTAACAGCGGCTTCCATTTATGGTTGTTGCGATCTCTTTGTTGGATGGAGAGCTCAAAAGTCCCAGGCAAAAATCAAGGCCTTGCTGTGCTTGGCACTGTCAAAGAGTAGGAGACAATCCTACCCACCAAAGGTCACAGTCTGAAGTTGGAGAAAGCTGAAGTAGGTATAGGTATCAAGAAAGGGTAACAGCAGAGACTGTCAGACAGAGCAAGCTGTGTTGAACCTAGTGTTGAATGTGACTTATTTTGTAAGAGATGGGATACAAGCACAAAAATGATATGGGTATCAATAATCCTTTCTGCACACTCCCTACTCTTGTCATCTGCAAATTTAAGATAGGTGTCAATGGCAAAACTGTTGGAAAGAATTCTTTATGAAGAAAACAAAAAGGTAGAGTGAACAAGCTGATACAAGAGTCTGAAATCACTTGCATCGTCAAAGGTCAATATGAAAAATTAGGTAAGTGGAGAGAAGCAGAGGTCTGAAAACAAGATGCTTGTAGCAGATGCAGTCTAACGCAGGAACTAGTGGAGGTACTTCAAGAGTGATGTAACATAGCAGGATAACCTCTGCAGAAATATTTTCAAGAGATATGTGAGCATTTGAGGTGCACATTGTTAAGCTCAAAGTGGAGGGGTTCACCAAAACTGAGCTGGGAGTTGAGACACACCCAGTCAAGAAGTCCAGCAGCATTGACCTCCAAGTAGAATAGCCTGTCTTTGATGTGGACTAGATGACATAAAGGACAATATAAAGGGAAGAAGGAATCAGTACTGACATCCAGGTGTTGAACCTGAGTGACAAAGGACAACAGAGGCCATGTGAATTGTGATAAAGGCAGGGAGGATTTGGTAGAGAAAAAAACACCTTCCATTTTCTTCTGGAAACTTGGCTGGTGGTCTGCTCCTTGGACAACCAGCTGAAAGTCTAACTTCTTCCTACTGGAAGAAAATCTGCTTTTCCTTTTATGTTGGGTTGACTTTTTTCCATTTTGAGTGGAGGTACCGTTTGCCGGTTGACTGGTTCTGTGATACTTGGAATAGGAAAATTTTTACTGTTCGTGTTGCAAGATATGTGGAATGTAATGTAAGGAATACATTTGGTTATTTTGCAAACCAGCACTGGATAGACTGTTTAATTCCTGCACTATCCTTATGGGGGCTGTTTTTGGGATTCAGTGATACCAATTCAGTATCCATTTTCCTCTTATCTGTCTTTTTCCCCAAACCCCAAAATAAGGGTATGTGATTTTATGAAGAGCTTTCTCTTTGCTAGTGTTGTCCAGGAAACCGTTTCCTAGGCATCTTTGTGTTCAGACCTGATGTATGTCATTCTGACACAGTGAAGGTTGGGTTAAATTTCTAAATCTACTAATCAACCCTATTTTTTGCAAAGCATGGAAGAAATGAATCTTAAACCATGAGAGTCTCCTGACAGGTTGAATGAACTACAGCATGTTGTTATCAATCTTTTCACCTCCATGGTCCTTTCCAAAAGTTAACACAGAATTCTCATCCTCATGGGGGCAGATAGTAATATCATTCCCATTTTTGGAGGATAGAGAAGCTCAGAGACAGAAAGGTTAGCCACCTAATCCTAAAACACTGGATTCAGAAAAAAAAAAAAAAAGAAGAAGAAAGACTCCATTAATTCAAATTTGCTTCCACCATCAGGACTCAGTAAGTGGTTAGTCTGAGATCAATGAATACAGCAGTGACAGAGTTTGTGGTAAGAACTTCAAGAGCTGTCAGTCCACTGTTAAATTCATTAGAACATTTTTCCCTCTGCAACACCATTGAATGCATGGCCTGCAAAGGCATCCACCAAATGAAAACCAATAGGCGTGACGTGAAGTGTGTCTCTTGCTGAGGTGCTAAAGAACAACCAGAAATACTTCACAACTCATGTTGCAGGGGGACAGGTATAAAACCTGTAGACAGAGCTTGTGTGCTAGGTCCCAATTCATGCCACATGTGTCACTGCAAGTGAAGGGCATATTTTACACAAATGTGTCAGGAAAGAACTTTAATGCTAGCTGTGACAACTGTAGATAAGCAGCCTGTCTAATTATTTTATGTTAGAAGAACCTTTAGGATGACCCCCACACCTTACTTGTAGCAACCAGAAAGAGCCTTTACCTCTGGGGGAATGACAAGACAGCCTCAGTAACTAATGAGGGAAGGTGACAGAAGACTTTGACTCAGCACAGACTGTAAAAGTGTCTGAATTTCATAAACAGGAAATCTTTAAATGATACATTTCTTTCCTTTTGTACTTCACAGAAGAGTAAGGTAGGACAAAAAGGGGGCGGGGGGGAGGGGGTTGATGGAGATTAAAAGTATTGACATGGTCTTACTTGGCAGCTGTGAAAAAGCTCAATTAGCACAAATCTAAGTGCTAGCAACAGATACCTAGAGGGACAGGTAACCATCAGCTCCATCATCTTCTCCTTCAAAACTGACCATAACCTTTCACATACAACACTTTCAAAATATGTTCAAAATGTTTTTCAAAATTCCTTTCTTTCTGAGAATACATTCTGCGTAGAGCCACACTATACGATATACGGAATCAGCAAACTCGCCGTGAGAGGGACTCGCCTGGCTCATCCTGTACAAAGCGATGCCTCAAACACCACACTATTTCTACTTGCTCACGGCTGTTCTAACTGAGGAACCGAAGAGGAAAATATTTGTACGTCTCTCCAACAAACAATCGCTGCCATTCAGATAGGTAGCACTAATCAGCTACTTGCAGAGGCGGTGGAAACAGTCAATGCAGAAAGATACAGGGTGTCTGTATTTAAAATAATCTCACTGCACCTCCCTGCTATTTTGCTCAGAAAAATCATTACTGAAAAAGCAACGAAAGCCTCTAGTCCACATGCAAAAAAAAAAAAAAAAAATCCAATCCCTTTTTAAAGAGCTGGGTAGTAGCAGATTGGCAATTTCAACATTCCCAGGCAACAGAGACTCACAGTCAAGGTTAAGGTGGTATGGGCCTCACAACAGGCTAGAAGAATAACACAAGGTCTCAGATGCAACAGCTTTCAGCGTGAATCTGATTTTTTTTCTGAAACAGCACCAATGGGTGGCATCGCTGTGCATTTAGTCCTATGATACATTATCACCATAAGAGAATTATTTCTATGGTTGTAATATCTTCAGTATATTGTGGTACATCATTCTGTCTTCTCTCCTCTCTTCTTCCTTTCAGTGCTGGCTCCCGTCAGGGCACTGTGAAGCAGCATGGAGGAACAAGTTGGTTTTTTAGTACTACATGCTGGTATCAACAGCTGCTATCCTTGCTGTGTCCGGCATCGATCTGAAGAAATGTAACAGTATGCAACACTAATGTCGAAAACCAGAAAAGCTAATAACAACTGTCCCTACGTGTATCTTGACACAGATAGTGCATGCAAGGGACAGAATTATTTTGGAGTCCTCATAGCACAAGTCAAAAAGAAATAAAATAAGTGGGAAACAAGCTAGTGCAATAAAACTTCAATGATATTATTGAAATTCAGTGTCTTAAAAGCCATAGTGAATTTGGTCCTGTACATGGACGCAGAAATTGAAATAAGTGATTAATTCTCCACGAGGGAGAAGTGAGAAGATGCTTATTGAGTTGTTAAACCTGAAACAAAGGAATTCCTCCATAAGTTTACAGTACTGGAAGGTATATTTCCCTTTACGCTCCAAAACCCCAGGCCCATGGACTGAAAAGAATCACTGACAGGCAGACCCTCACTGGAACACTTTGATCAACTTTTACCAAATTAGAACAGAGATGAAAACCAAAATTGGTCAGGACTAAGAAACTGAAATCCTCCTGCCTGGCCACAGGGTGTCCTCCTTGCTCTATGCTTTGGCCTCAGATGACCAGCCTCTGCAGGGGGAAAAAGGTCTTTATTAAAAAAAGCTCAGTTAATGGATCAGAGGTCTGTAGTTTGCTCAGCCCAACCTGCTCACATTCATCATGATACAATACACACCCAGGTTACTCTTCCCAGTTTCCTTATGCTAATTATTTTGCCTTGACAGGTGCTGGTGTTGCAAACATATTTTTGAGCTGGTTGTACCATCGCCCTCTTTTCAAGCTATGGAAGTGGATTAAGAGCATGTCACAGGGACAGCAAGTTCAGTAATGCTTTGCATGTTTTTTCTGTCACTGTCATTAAGAACCAGGGATGTTTAGGGAAATTGTCTGGTTCGCATCTCTGCTAATGCGGGATGCTCTTGCATATACTTAGTCCAGTTCAATTTTCAAATTGATTTTCCTGTCCCCTGAGGGAATTATTCTGATGGCTAACAGGGCTTACGTTTAGACCTGAGTTTTTTCTTTCATAACTGTATTGGTTTACTTCCAGTTACAGCCCCTTCCTCTACCCTAAAACTTCTTGTGCCTTGCTAGGCGTTGTTACACCTTAAACATCTGTAAGCTGCCTTTCAGATCTGCTCAAACTGCATTGTTTTGGGAATAAGTGAGAAGGGTGGTGTGTGGAGGGGCTGAAAGTGCGGGTGACAGAGGGAATCCCTCCACTATACATTTACCTGAGGTACTCGTAGAGTCCATACATGGGCAAGAAGTCAATGTCAGACAGAAACATGTATGGTGTGCTGATATGCTTCATAGCCACATTCCTTAGCAGATTCACAGGATAGAACTGCCCCTCCTTGTACACGATATGATAGCCGACATTGTGGCGGCTCATAAGTACTTCTGAGCCCTGGGCGTAGCGCAGAAATTGCTGGGCTTCTGCATCAGAAAGATAGAGCGCCAGGCTGATTGGACCTTCCCAATGTTTGCAGATGGCTTCAAGCATCTGGAGCCTGAAAAAGGAAGGGTGAGAATAAGACAAGGCTGTCTCCCTGCCTGGGACTCTTTGCCTGGGTTCGTCTGATCAAATGCAGATATCTATCTCCAAGTGAGACAGATTGGGGTCACTTTATATGCTGTGGAAAGCAATAAGTATTTCTACAGTACAGTTCATCTCATCTAAGTTGATGTCTCCTTCTGGACAGATGGACTGCACCCTAGATATTCCTACTTTTCTCCACTGAATACAAGGGAGCTTAAGATGGCCCTAGCCCAAATACACACATCCGCAACTTGGACACCTGAAGCTAGGTGAAATCAACACCATCCTTTCTGCCTAAAGCATTGATGCTGCAGGAAAACCCACATGGATGGTGGGACTTCATCTGATGGGAGCTTGGAGCAGTTGCAGGGATCTGTCCGTGCAGATCTACTTACAGGACAGGGGTCGGGTAATCTGTTTAGACAGTGTTTAGTGCCCAATTCATGCTTCAGGTCAAGCTATTCTCACACACTAACACACTACGGGGCTCTTCAACAAGCTTGGGGAGGAGAAAGGTGTACAGACCCACAGATCATTTTACCTCCAGTTTAGGAAAACCTTCCCCAAACTTTGGCAAAGCAGTTAAGTCAGTTCTTAAAAGCTATTAGAAGTGATAGGTCAAGGGAATACTAATTTATATGAACATTTGCATTGACTACAAGAAAACTCACTGTCAGGGGAAGGGCAAAAGGATGACACATTGATAGAAATGGGATTTACTATGTGTAGGGAGTAAGGAGAGAAGGAGGGAGAGACTTTGCTGTGGAATATCAAAAAACATTTCAGACAAAACCATGATTTAAAGTACTAATTTGTATATGTTTTAGCAGTATCTCAAGTTTTATTAAATCATTTTTAAAACCGATTGTATCAATGTATATTTCTTAAAACTTCCAGCAGTTACAATACTATTCATGAAAATGACAACGCAAGATCTCATACACAAATGTAAATCAAACCCAGCCTAGTCAAAATTGTTTAAGCACTTAGGGTATTTTATAGAGAATTGCCTAGAGATTAAGATATACCACCCAAAAATATAGCAAGGACTGATTACAAAGCCCCTTGAGTTAATATAAAGGGAAATGAACCTGTGCAGCCTAGCCAGATATTCTACTAAAAATTAGGAAGAGCAGACTATGCAACATGATTATCTTCTCTCCCTTCCAAATCCACATTACTAGATTTTTCCTGTTAATATTTATACAGAACATAAGAAAAGTTTTCTGCATCATCGTAATCAGAGAAAATAATTTCCCCCTCCTACTATCTCCCTAAGCTTTGCAGCAGAAAGGAATGATATACACATACCAGCAAGCACACATTCTGATTTAACATTAATAGCTTTTTCCTGCATTTCTGAATGATCATGATGACATCCAAGACGATATAATCATTTTTTCTTAGGCATGAGATATTACCTTCACTAGTCTATACCTGGTACATTATTTTCTTTTTATCTGTTATTGAAACAAAGGTTATTATCAGCCTGAAACATACAGCCGAATTAGAAACACAAATCGATAAAAAAGATCTAAAAAGTATGTGAAGGCTTTAGGCTTTTCATTGTACAAATAATAAATAGAGAAAAATAACCTTCCCCCCCCCCTCCCTTTCCAACATAGTGGAAACCTATTAATCAGGAGACTCCAATTCATCAGCACTCAAATTTAGGGCAGCCTTTTAAAAATGGAATACTTGCCTAGCAAGAAATGCAGCAAAATGCCTTTCAAGGACTCCAAGCAGTGAACAAATGGCATACATAACTTATTTAAACGGCACACCTGATAACGCCTGCAAAGCTTTTCACGACAATTCAGTGGGAACTGGGTTTTGCTGGTACAAATTTCCAGTTGGACAGCTTAATGCCCTTTAGAATACTCCATTTTGCCGTGTCGTTCTCATTGACAGGCTCCACTTCCATGAGCTTGATACAGGGGCTGCTGGGTGATGCTCCACAACCTACTCTCTGCAAGTTGTTACAATAGTCTCCTTTGACCATAAAACTTAGAATTACGCGTTTCTAAGGACAACATGACCAAGTTATTTTGGCTTTGTTAGCGATCTTGAGGAATGCATTCTCTTAAGGACTTTAGAGAAAACAAATATACTCCTGTACATGAGGTCATCATTTAGTTGGTAATTTTTTTTAAAGGTCTGTTTCAGTCAAGAGAATTCTGCTGGAATTCAATAGTTTTTTGAGATTATTTCTTTTCACTTTTCTTCTTAAGAATACTCAACGAATTTACAATTTATTCTCACCCAGACTTTAATCAGTGTAATGCTTATCCTGTCTTTCCTTGTCCACATCCTGATCTCACATTTTGGTAACTCTGGCTTCTGAGCCCCAGGTACGTACCGAGCCTTTAAAAAGGCTGCCTAACCAAAACACATGCATGAAAATCACAGCGATGCAACCAAGCCATCACCCAAGAAAATGTCACAGCAGTATAGAAGGTGACAATTAACCAATAAGGAACAACACTAAGACTGTCTCAGAGCTTCCATTCAAGGACGTTAATGTTAGCTCCGGCACAGCATCCCTCTCTTCCATTCCCCAAGCCTGTGGCACAGGCAAACATAAGCCTGTCACGATAGTCACGCCAGTCTCAACTCCAACGGGACCATAACTGGAGACACCGGGAGTTGTTTTTTGCCTTTCCTCATCTCGGCTGATCGTTTGAAAGAACGGTGCAGGAATGTAGCATGTAGCACATCATTTATGTACATGTCATCTTACACCTGAGACACTTCTTAAAAGTCTATGGCTACGCTGGAGGAGTTTAATAAAAGTGGTTTAAAGAAGATACAAAAAAAATAAGGCGGCAACTGAAAGATGTGAGAGAAAACAAAGCAGCTAAACAGTTCTTTGGTATGATATTATTTATTGATTTTAGCTGAAAGAAAGTATTTCCAACTCAAATCAATAATTTATAGCAACACACCAACGAAGTAGGGAAGATTTTTCCTGCACAGTATCAGGAGGGCTGTTCTTCCTGAATAAAAATGTGTGGTTCTCTCTATCAATAAGAACATGTGCCCCAGTGAGGATCCAGAAAGGGAAACAGATGCTCAGACTTTGCATCAGTGCCAGTGAATCAGCACTGAGCCCCAGCTCATTGTTTTGAATTAAATTCTGGGGGGAAAATACACCATGTGCACACAGCAGCTTTACTAATTTACTGTGGCACCCGCTCAGGGTCTGGCTTAATTTATTCCTTTCGTTTTTTACTCAAAGGTTTGTGAACACTTAAGAAATGTTTCCTCAATTAAAAATCAATAGAACAGACACGGATGCGCATAGCAAATCATAACACAATGCGCAGGATGCAGTGCTGAGGTACTGGTGAAACACAATAGCCCTCATTTGTTCGTGCTTATTTTTAAGCAGGCTGTAAATGGGTTTTTTTGTTGATCTGAATTCCTCTGACTCTCCTGGAATACTGCTGACCTTCCTCTAGTGTAGCAGTGGTGGTATTCACGGGTGGTGGTGTATTCTGTATGTGCTCAGATAAATGAAATACCAGCTTCTGGCTAATATTCAAGGAGTTCTGACCTGTTTTGTAACCCACTGTGACAGCAGTAACTACAAAGTTTGGACTAGATTCGAACTGAGAAGCAGAAGAAAAAAGGAGACTGACAATTCAAAATTTCACAAAGGTGGCTGATCCACAGTGCGCTTCCAGAGCTTCTAAAAAACGACAACTAATTGCAATGGTAAGAACCAGAAGGGTGCAGGTGGAACTTGTCACAAAATGGTATTTTTTTTCCCCAAATGAAATACCAGTTAAATTCCACTTTATATCAGAAATTAAGTTGAAAATAATTAAATAAGAAATGTTATTCTGCGAATCAACATTCACATAAGAATGGAATGACTCCTCTCAAAAGGAGATTTTTCATTTCACACTAGCACATTAAAAAAAAAAAAAGTTTTATTTTCAACTTCCCAATTTGAAATGAAAGTGTTTAGTTTTGATTTTCTCTGTAAGAAAAATCACTAATAGAAACTTTGAGCGAGGACAATGCCAGTGAAAGCAAAACTAACATTGTCTAATAAGGAAATACTGTGTGTAAAATCTGGTCAGCTACAACCGCTTGCCTAAGTCTCTCATAGACATCCTCTGTTTTTTCTAAGTTGCCGCAAACCTCCATAAATGAATAATCCCTCACAATTCTGACAAGCAACAGCCCCTGCAGTTCCAATATTCAGCTTCTCATGAACTGCACCCACACTCATGCGGCACTTGCAGAGCTGAAGTCTGGATGCAGGTGTGATAGCTGCGTGTGCTACTCCTAATTCAAGAAAGGTCTTCAGCACGACATCCAAGTTTCTAGGAAAGTGAGGTTTTTTTCTCTCCCCAAAGCATTATCTAGTTGGATTTCTCTGTAAGAAAATACTCATTGTCTCATGCTTCCTGAAGAACAAGACCTTTTCCCTACCTGTCCATTGAAAGCTGAGCCACCAGCGTTACATCGGTATTGTCAGAAGCGGGCTCATATTCGTAATGTAGAAAATACAAATGAGTGCGATGGACGGTGAAACGTTCTCGGCGAAATTCATAGCATAAGTCATCCTCGTCCAG